GGGGGGGGGGGGGGGAGCCCAAATTGCACACGTATTGCAGACCGATATCATACAACTGTGGAAAGACCGAAACATGTTCCGGAAATTTATCGGGTCCGTTCTCATGCGATTTTGAGACTATCTGAGTTCACACAAATCGAGTATATACTCAATGACACTTAGATGTCAATCCTTGTCCATATATCTTCTTATAAACCTTATTAGAAATATGTAAAAAGATTGACAACATGCAATATATCAAAAAATGATATCATATTGAACGATATTATTCAAAATTATACGATATTGCTTATACGTTAAAACAAATCTTTTGTTCAAACTGTTTTAAAATTTTTTTCACTTAACCCTGAGCACTTATTTTGTATTGATTAAATTAAGCAGATGATAACTAATTCCTCCATGTTTTTGACAAATGTTGATAAAAAATGCTCGACCTTATTATTTTTAAATTGGCGGCATTGCGCAAAGTAGAGATCTTAATGTGAACTACGCATGCGCTTTTTGGCCGCAGCGCTCAGCCCCCTAGCCTGTCCTAGCCGCAGCGCTCGGCCCAGAAATGAGCTTAACCTATCATATGATACATGCTACATTTTATTTATTAGCTAAAGTTATGACTTTTAAAATCAATTATTGATGTAAAGTCGTCTTCCCATTCCATCGTTCTTTGATTATCCCTGTACTCCATTTAGTTATAAAAAGAAATTTCTTATTAGCTCTCTCAAATTAATTGCTTAAAACTTTCTATAAACACTTCTTTCCAGGAGTCATTATTCTTTGCAATTTCCAAGCTCGTGACGAATGCTCTACATCAAATCATTTGAAAAGATTTTTTTAGACCAGAAATTCTGTCCCCTTGATAAAACACTCTGCAGTAGTCTATTTGACTATTGTCGAAAATCACCAAACGTGTTCGTTGCAAGTATTTAAAACATATATTCATATATATACATAGATCAATTGACCAAACTTGCTCATGTGATGTATCGGAGAAAAAATATTAAATCAACAGAAAAGTCTCATAAAATTAGTTTATTGACGCAAAATATATATTTCCCCGTTGGCTCATGTTGACTGGCAGGGTCTGTGGGAGTTGACTAACGTCTATTTATGCTCCGACCTGGGGTGTTTCCCATGGCACGCCGAGTTCTTGTCCTTCAGGTATACATTACAGTTATGCGCGAATTTCTCCCCCTTGGGATTCTCGCAACCAGTCGGAGTTGTCTTCCTTGAACACTTCCCGTTGTTATAATCATAACAGGTTCTCAGACCGTTCACCGTCGCAGACTTCCCCCTCAAGCTGTTCTGAGGCTTCTGCTGGCGTAGGCCCTGTGGAACGGGAGCCTGGTAGCCTGGTCTGTCGAAACTTCGGGCTGCACCATCATAAGGGACCTCAGAGCGTAGTCCATGTGCAGAGAGCGTTTCCTTCAGCACTTTCTCCTGCTCTTCAAAGCTTAGAACGGCAGACTTGTTTGCAGCTCTCTTACTGTTCAGCCTCTGGACTGCATTGAAGAAAGCACAGATGACCGCTACTTTGAGTTTTGGGTCATTTGTTGCAGAAATGTGCCAATATCTCAGAAGTAGTCTGCCTATAATGTCCCCCGTCTGGTCCATGGGCCAAAGCAAGTGTAGGAGAGAGCGGTAGTTCTCTATGGCAGCTCCTGTACCTAAATAAATAGAGTTGTAAATCAAGTGCAGCAGGTTTGAGTTGTTGTTAACATTTCCCCTCCAAACTCATTAATTTCTTTACCTGTCTCACTGACTGAGGTTCGGACCATGGTTGTAGTCTGATAGAGTTACCAGCTCCTCGTCCTCCTTCCTCCTTATCTCCTTCATAGGTTTACTGGTCACCGAGCTGTTCTCGGTCATGAAATGTTTAATTTCAACACTATTTCTTCTATCATGTAGCATGTGTATGGTTCGGTCAGCAATGTTATTGCTGCACCCCCCGAACTCCAGTGCTAAGTTTTTGTATTTATGATCATGTTTCACAGGCACCTGATCATAGTACCTCTTAGGGTCCACAAAAGGTAGCCTAAGCCAGCGTGCAGGGTGGAGTCTTTCTTGGCCGTCGTCCTTTCCTTCGCCAAACTTCACTCTTGGTGGCAATTCATCCTTCTTCAGCATGGCCATTTTAGAGTTTTCCGCTCGTTGCTGTTTAATGTACATGTCGTGCATTAAATTCAGATCTTGAATGGACTTCAAGTTCACTATAGCGCGGTCCCTAAGTAGTGTTGGTCTCTGGTCCCTCGGCCAAACCTCTTCGAGCCAAAGCCAGTTTACTCCTTCTTCAACTTGTTCTTCTCCGGAGGACTCATCTATTTCGATGTCAACTGGTCTAGATTTCTTCTTTTTTGTGACCTAAATAATATAAGGTTAAACCATCAATTCTAAACTGTAGCGTTAAGACTGATAATTCATTAATTTCAAACTGTTATGCAGTGATCTCAGCTTAAAACTGGCTGCTCAATTATTTTTATCAGACTAGTGTTAGATAAGAAAAAAACCCCTCTCAAATTTTCCAAATTCCCAATTTAGGCTGAGCCAGGTAATTCATTAATTAATTTAATCTATAAATTTCATAGTATATTAGATGACTTACTGTAAACGAGTTCAGAATTAAATCTTTAGTTAATCAAACATTTAGGCAATTTAGTGAATTCTAGGTTTGTTTACCTCTTTTTCTCCCGGTCTTGAAACAGTCCTTTTCTTTCCGGGTTTATGGGTTGTTCGCCTCGGCTCTGGATATGATCCCGCTGTTCTCACTGCTCTAGTTGCAACAATCGGCGTAGTACATGGTTCCAGGTTTTGGCGAGAGGGTCCTGCGCCGAGCTCCATTCGCACTGTGCTGGCCAACTCCTCTATGTCTCCCTCCACCTCAGATATTGTACCAGTGACGCTCCTAATGTCGTCGTTATCTTCCGCTATCGGTTCTTCAGGCTCTGAAAAAATTACAGGTTAGTTCTAAGTAGCTGTAGGATTGTATTAAGTCAGAACATGAAACAATGATGTTATAATAGACAAATTTTGTTAATACTATTATTGTATATGAATCAAAATCAATAAAGCAATGCACTGAGTTTCTCAAATATTCAACGAGTCGGTTTTTCTTACAATATATTTATATACAAAAGATACAAAAATACAAACTTTAAATCGAACGATACTTATACAAACTAAATATTATGAATCAGATCAGTTTCATCAAATAGGGGACATTTTTATATTTTGCATTTTCTCATCGTTTCACTTATACAAACTAAATATTATGAATCAAATCAGTTTCATCAAATAGGGGAATTCTTCAAGGGAACCTACACAGAGGGAGCTGGTCTTCAACTGCCTGTATTTTAAGGACATAGCGACCCTTCTTGCTATCTCGATTCTCCTTGTTCTAGGTTGTTTTAGGTAGTTGAGGTAAGCATCACTTGACCACCTTCCCATGGCCATAATTTCCTCATCTCCAAATCCTAGAGTGCCCAGCAGGGTTGCCATCCCCGCCCTGAAGCTGTGTGAGGAGATTTTGGTTTCATCATAGTCCAAGTGTTTCCCTAGGAAATTCTTTAGCAGCTTATTCAAGTCTTTCCCTGTAAAGCAGGTGCCTCTCTCCCATCTGAAGGCTGGCAGGTCATCCGCAGCATGTTGTTTAAGCATGAGCCATCTCTCTAGAGCTCGTACAGGGCATATCTGGCCTTTACTCTCGTAGATATCGATGATTTTCCCCTTTCCAATTCTATCTTCTTTTGGTGATTTTAGCTTTAACTGGATTATTTTTATATCTGATCCCTGGTGTCTTATCTTGTTCAGTTTCATGTCACATTCAAGTAGAGTAAACTCTGGATCAAAATGTGACTTTTCTCTACATAGTATTTCATGTATCCTGAGACACCCTGCGAAGGCAATAGTGCATGTAGCCCATACCATAGCTTTGTCAGCTCTGCTCTCGTTCCAGTTCTTTATTTCTATTTTAAGTAGTTTCATAGAGTTCAGAGTTATAGGGGCTCTAACTGGTTTTGAGCTTTGTATCCTCTCAATGTTCTCCTGGTTGTGTTTCCCTTTAATGAGCTGCTCTACCAGGGCTGGTCGTAGCGCAGGAATATCCACCCCCTTTAATAAATGAATGTAGCGGAGGCCCGACAGGTAAGTGTTGACTGTACTTGATGTTACCTTCCTCACCTCGAATAGCCAGTGTACAAAAATTATTATAGACCTGGTTGAAAGTGGGAATTCAAAACTTGTCCCAGCATGGGTTTGGCATCTTTCTAGCATGTTTCCTACTGTTCTGTAGGTACTCCATGTCCCCGCCGCTAGAGAATGGTTTAAAGTTTCCGAAAGTGCTTTTCTCATGGAAGAAGGCAGTTCTAGAAAATCCAGTGAATCCTCTGAGTAAAGACCTTTTGTCCCGTATTTAAAGCCTCTTTTCACCTTTGGAATGGTCCCTGAAAATTTAAGACCTTAATAATAAAGAATGTTGAAGGGTGAAGTTTAAATTGATTATAGTTTTAAAAAATTAATTTTTCCCCCGCTCTGATTCAAAGAAAAAAGTTTGTCAATTCCCTCAATAATTTTTACAGTTTAAAATTATTTCACTGAGTGTTAGAGTTTCCTGGGCTCTTGGTTCAAATTTGTCCCAATTTGAATTCGTGGTGGAAGGGGTCCAGTTCCCTAG